AAAAAAAAAAAAAAAAGAGTCAGCAAAATGTGACTTTTGGGCCAAATCAAATCTGTGACCTTGCTGTAAATAATGTTCTATTGGAATACAGCCACATCATTTACTTACACTTACATATATATTACTATGGCTGTTTTTGCACTACAATGGCAAGCTTGAATAGGGGTTTTTTGTTTTTTTGTTTTTTGTCAAGACAGTTCTACCCTGTGCCCTGAGCTGAGTGCAGTGGCGTTGTAGCTCACTGCAACCTCAGACTCCAGCTGTGGGCATCCTGCTGCCTCAGCCTCCGAGGTCACTGGGATTACAGGCGCTCGCTGCAATGCCCGGCTGGGTTTTTCAATTTTTTTCATGAGTCAGGGTCTCACTCTCGCTCAGACAAGCCTTGAACTCTTGAGCTTGAGCAATCCTCCCTCCTCGGCCTCCCACAGTGCTGGGATTACAGGCGTGAGTCACCCAGCCCAGCTGTTTGTTTGTTTTTGAGACTGAGTCTCCCTCTGTCTGCTGTGGCATCAGCCTGCCTCAAGGCAGCCTCAAACTCCTGGGTTCAAGCAATCCTCCTGCCTCAGCTTCCTGAGTAGCTGGAACTCCAGGCACCCACAACCACACCCAGCTAATTTTTCTGTTTTTAGTTGAGATGGGATCTCACTCTTCCTCAGGCTCCCTTGACTCCTGAGCTCAAGTGATCCTCCCACCTCAGTTTCCCAGGATACTAGGAGTACAGGCCTCTCTTTTTTGACACATATTTCTTACCTTCACTTAAGTGATCTTTGCTCTTCTAGAGGGATACATGGGAATTTCTCAGGTTGGAGGGATGGAACTGGGTGGCTTAAATTAGAGAGAAGGAGGAACTGATTGAGGGTGGAAGAGGGACGATGCAAACAGCTCCTAAATTGGCTCTGCTGAACGGAGAGAGGAATATTTTAAAACTTCTAACAAGAGTAAAATAAATATATTAGTAAATAGTTAAACTCAGTAAAAATAGCTTCCTACATCTAAAATCTTTTTATCTATGGTGCTGCTTTAAGACCAAAGAGTCCATGGTGTCATGTGACCTTGTGTTTACCGGAATCCCAGGATGCCTTGGTGTCGCATTCTCTAACTTCTCCCCCAGGGTCTCTCTTGGTTGTTTAACTACTGGATTTTTTACATGGGAATTTCTCTAGCATGGGGAGTCTTCGCTCTCAGTTATGGCAAGGTATTTTCTGAGTAGTCTTTTTTTTTTGAGACAGAGCTTCAAGCTGTCCCCCGGGGTAGAATGCTGTGGCATCACAGGGCACAGCAACCTCCAACTCCTGGACTCAAGCAAGTCTCCTGCCTCCACCTCCCAAGTAGCTGGGACCACAGGCACCTGCCACAAGGC